TGGTCAGTAGCACAGAGTTGCATAATTGGTGATATTAGTATGGGTGTCCAGGTTTCTGGGAAGAAAAATTCGGTTCCTTTTCTACATACATAATGGTAAGTGGCAGATGAAATATTTCCAAGTAGGACTGGGCAAGTTACAGAATGAATTTGGTTAAAACCTTTTGCTACAGCTTATAGGACTGAAATAAACCCAGGTATCTCTTGACTCCAGGTGGCTAGCGCCTCTTGCCAAATCAATGAATTTAGCAGTGGCATCTGAGATGGAGAGAGTGAAAGAACTGTGCAGATAAGTAAACACAGTATGTCCTCAGTTTGTGTTGTTATAGAAACATGATCAGAAAATTCAAGGAAGGCTGACTGAACAGTGTTTAGATTCCACTTTGTCTGTCCTGATGGGAAGCTAATGCTAACAAGAGACCTGTACTGTGATGTCAAGAAATGCAAATATAGTGGATGAACTGTGTGTGAAGTACTGTCTGTACTGAAATAGAATGCATATTTACATCTGCGTATTCTACTGAACTGACAGTCCATGGAAGAACTTCGGTTTCAGGAATTTGAGTAATGATGACTGCCTCCCAGGTGGTGCTGGTCTTTAGTTATTCTTAACTCTTTTTCTAAAAATATATTATTTCAGTCATACTTTAGTCTTCATGATTAAATTTATGAATTGTCCCCAAATTTAAATCTTTAGCCGTATTTTCCAAGAATGAGAAAAATGATAATACAGTTGGCATCTTCAATGAATCTTCCATGAATTCAGCACTGTGGTAACATTTTGTTGGCAGCTTTAATGGCGAGAATGATTTTGCTACAGCTCAGGAGTCATCTTCCATGTGAAACTGAAGCAAACCCAACTCATAAAAGGAGGCTGAAATAATCAGAACTCATGGCCATTAACCTCATGCACCATTACTTAATTTACGAGATTCCTGTTTCTGCGACAGGGAATTTGAGATTATTAGTAAAAAGAACCATTTCTGAAAGCAGCAGCCCATCTTATTCTGCAACACAATAAGGAAGGAAATGGAATGGGGAGGGACACATGGGATACATCTCATGTCTCTTATAAGCAGTGTTGTTTCCCTTGCTTGCATCTTAGTCCTACCCATGCAAAAGATGAGGACAGAGTATTAATGACATGAGATGCCCTTTCCTCAGATACTTCATCTGAAACATCTAATCACCAACTAATTTCTGATTAAGGGGTGCTTCAGTTACTAAAACTTCAGCAAGGGCTAGTCTCATGTGTCATATATCCTTGGTCCTTGCTCCTCAGTGCTGGTAGAACAGACTTAGAACATCTCGACTTACAGTTTGACTGAGGATGGAGGAAAGATCTTGAGGCATGATGTATCAGGGTTCAGGCTAAGGGAGGACCCAAATGCAGACAAACTGTTGCTTGTAACTAGTAAGGTTTAATATAAGTAACATGAAACACAAAGACAAATAGATCTACTCTACCTGACAAAATTCAACAACAGCATCTAAAAAAAAAACAAGACTAAATGGCACCATCAGGGAGCAAATACATTTAAACTGAAAACAAGTAACAAAACTAAAGAATTACAGAGAACAAAGCTCACCACAAACTGAGAACCAAAGGTAGAAAGCAAGAGACCAAATAATCAAAGCCCAAAGACAAGGCACAAGGGGGAGAGTCCAATAACTCACAGGAGGCAAACAGAACTGGAGATAATCACAATGAGGCAGCTAAAACAGGAGCAGAGAACACTGTGGTGAGCAGGTGACCCAATAACCTGACTGACAGAAGTGAGGAGAATATACTGTATAGGCTGAGACATGAAGGCAATGAGAAACATGTCAATGAGTGATAATCAAAGGCTGGAGAAAAGCTGAGGCAGGTGAGATGACAGGAAATGCTTTCAAAATAAAAGTACAGAATAGGAAGTAGGCACAAACCATGACAGAGATGTATCCCTGGTACCACTTCCATCATGCCTTGCTTGCTTTTGCTCATTTGGAAATATTTTTTTAAACCATCGCTGTCTCTAACCACTTATGAAATTTGTTTATTTTATTTTATACTTATTAAATTTTGTTTCCATATACAGTAGTCTTGGACACAAAGGCCACAGAAAAGACGAATCTCAGAAACTGCAAACATTATCTTCTCCACCACAAAGATTTGTCTACAGCTCCTGATCAGGCTAAACTTCCTTTTTTTGTTATTTTGGCAAATCACTGTGGTACTTCTAAGCAAATTCATCCTCAACAGGACAAACATTTTCAGTTTTTGACACTGGTCAATAAGTGTAACCATAGATATGTCAACTACAGTATGGTAAGAAAGGATGGCGGTAATTAACCAAATTATGATCAAGGCATTTCTGAGGTTTCTGCAACTAAACACTTAGTTAAGGATATGGAAAGGTATGGCAATTAAAAGGCATAAAATTCAGACATGCTACATGTTTATCCATCATCAATACCATCCATCATGTCCACAACTGTACTTTCTGCATTGCTTTTTACAGGGCACACTGCTTCCTATATTGGCACTCAACACTGGGGTTGGTCATAAATTGTTTGCAATTGTTCAATACAATCATAAATCATACTGGCTTGGTCAATCCCCAACTATACCTCAGTGGTTCTATACTGGGATCTTTTGAGTCTCTCTGCTGTTGACAAGCTAGAGCAGCAGTGCACACCTTCCTCCATTGCAATGATCCTGGGATAAAACTGTGTTTACATGTACACTTTTGGCTCCTGGCCAAAACAACTCCTCAGTGCCAAAACACAGGATACAAGTCTGGATAGCATCAGGAACAATGCACACCAGTGTCAGTTTGACAGAGATGGAGAACATAAAACTACAACTAGAATTTTGGCTTAGCCTTTGCTCACCTGTGAGTTTGCACAGATTGATCCACAGTAACCGTCACAGTGAATATAAGCAGGGATTAATCTGGGCCAGAGCCCATCGGAGCTGAGCTCAGTTTCCTTCAGCATCACAATGTTGGCAACTCTCACACTGACATGAAATTTCCACTTCCAGACACTGTCTCACACTATCCAAACAGATGGAAAATGTAAGTTCTTTTCTCTAACTTGATGAAATTGCTGTGGTCATCAAACAGCAACAGGATCGATACATCTCCACATTGAGAGAGGGGCTGTGCACAGTTTGCACTCTTGCCACAGCAGCAGTAACTCCATTAATTATTTAAATCTTCTGCTGTGACACTGCGATCTTACTGTAGCCTTATTAATCTAAATGGTTTTCTGCCCAGTAAACAGGTCAGCTGCTGCACAGATGGTGTCTACAGTGAAAGACAGTATTTGTATTCAGGATGAGTCCAGCACTGTTAAAACTGTTGCTATATTTTTATTTTAACAAAAGTCAGTTTTGCTGAGTAAATGCAACAATATATAGAGTTATCACAGAAAGCAAGAAACTTGTCTAATCACTGAAGTAAGCAAACTACGCAGTAAGAAGAGACATACACTGGGAATAAAAACTAATTTGCATTTAAACAGTAAATACATATCAATAGAGAAGAGTATGCACACTTTAAAATTGTAAAGAAAATAGAATGAAAACTCACAGACACTGAGTTGAAAAGAAAATTTTTTAAATGCAACTTAAATTTAAGCCAGTATTGGGGTGGAGGTAGAGCGGCTGTCTCCTGACCAGAAGGTTGGTGTTTCGGTTCTTCCAGTCCACATGTCAAAGTGGCCTTGGGCAAGACACTGAGCCTCTGGTGGCCAGGCAATGACATGGACAGCACCACCATCAGTGAGAAATTTCCTCATGTGGGACTAATAAAGGAATGATCAATAAAACATTAATAAAACCTCTCTTCAGCTTGCTTGGCACCACATTAGCATTAGCTAACTTCTCCTGACAGATGACGCAGTCGGGCTGAGGGATGCTGACATCTGCGGTCAAGCTGAAGCCACAGGACGGTCAGGTTTTCAGGATACTGTTCTTTTTCTCTTTTCTTGAGGTGTTTTAGGCCACAGGATTTGCTTCTGAATTGGGAAATGAGTGTATACAAAGTGATATAGTAAATTAAAAATTTATTTACAATTTTTTGTACTGTGCTACTTGTCACAAAATCCCATGGCACACTTGGACCTGCCTCACGGCACACCATTTGGGAGCCACTGCAGTAAGGCAACAGATAGCCTGATGATGAAAACACAATTAATTAGACTCAGCCTGCGTGGAGTTGCATCAGTGCAAAGGTATTTCTATTTTTACACACTGACAAGAATTGCTGTTTGTGAACCATGAATTCAAACCCAAAAATCAGACACTGGCCATGTATAGGCCCGTGTTGTATTATTGTTTCAAAGTGCTTCATAGAGATGAACTCTAATTCATTTAAAGGGTAACATATAAATAAATAAAATAAGTGGTAACAAATAATGAATGGATGATGGATATAATTTTTTCTCATTATTTTCTCTTGTGGTATCTACCCATTTAGACAGCTTCAATTTGAGGTAGTAATCGCAGAAATGTCACCAATATAATGCAGGTACAGTAAATGGAACTTAGTTTGTGGTACAATGGCACATCAAATACATTCTACTCAAGAAATAGCCTCTGTTGAAACTGCTGATAGTGTGGGCTATGACCCCTCCAGCTGCACTGGACAAGGGCTCCCCCTCATCACAAATCCCAAGTTAACCCCTGATCATAACTCACAGTTCTTTTCTACCTGCCAAGGCTGAGGGGAGGGGAGGTTGGGTGGGGGATGAGGCATGACAGAAATCATCCACTGTGCCGCTGTTCCTTTGTCAAGGGAGACATGAGCAGCTAAGTGAGGGAAATGTAGTATTTTCAGAGAACTGATGCTTGTGCAATAACGGTAAAATTCCACAGTGAACCTGCTGTACTCACATACTGTCTAACACAACCGCACAGCCTATTTTCTTGTCACGTCACCTGAATTCCAAATACTGGTGCACATGAACATTCCACAAGACTTACACACACATCACACCACCCACTGTTTCTTTTACCTGACAGCGCTGTTGGTGCTATCAGGGTCCACAGCAGTTACAGTGCCAACCTGGGTGCCAGCAGGTGAGTTTTCATATACATCCATAATGTAGTAGTCCATGGAGAAGACAGGAGGCTCATCCACATCCCCCACAATAACTCGCAGTGATGTGGAGTCCTTAAATGGCCCCAGGTGTGAGAAGCGTGAATCTGGATGAGTGTTGGAGCCTTCGATGTTGAGTGTGTGTACTTTTCTCTTCTCATAGTTCAGAGGCTGAGGGGGGAGACAGGAAACACAATTATCCTGCTGCCTTATTAAAAGTTGCATCTCGCTAATAACACAGCAATTAAAAAGTAACTTAACATGCTGTCTTCACAAAACACAACAGCACACTTGGATCCCTGCTCACATCTATCACTGTGGTTTACCTCACACTCATACCCCTTACTGGTCAAAGCTGCTCCAGCTTTTCCGCATGATTGCCCTGACTATTTATTCTGTAAGCACATTGGTCAGCATTTGTTGATTTTAAACATGCTCTATAAATAAATTGATCTGATTATACCTGTTGACTTTTAGAAGTACCTAAAGCCTAAATAATACATCTGGTGGTCATCCATAATTCACAAAACTGTAGGTAGCCTCTATAACACTGATAAGTGAACAGTGACAGCTATGCTACTACTATTATGAATGAATGAAGAATATGCGACTGGTGTCATCACATGTAAACATCTGGGTCAATCGGTGGCAAGATGACCATGTGGTAGCATGTCCAAAGTTATGCTTACTAGATGGTGGAGTGGCTTCATTCAACTAGTAGGCATTCAACAGAAAAATTCATGTGTAGTGTAGACATGCAACACACCCATAGAATAGAATTGAATATTTATTGTTAGAGGCACATACCATACACAATACATTAAATGGTGTTAAGAGCCCTGATACAGGCTGTAATAAATGAATCTGTAGCAATTCAGCCTGTATTGAGGAATTCTATACCTCCTGTATAGAATATGGGTTGGGTCAGACGGTAACATTGTACAATACAGTAGACAAAAATGTGTGTAGGTACTAAGAAACAAATGAAGACTGAATCAATAACAATCTGCAGTCCAACAATCTTTAATTCATTAGTAAATCTTTAGTGATGCTAAGGGTATGCTACATTTTCTGAAAATCTGCAGTCTTCTGTCTCATTGAAGGTCCATTTTGTCTACTTTGAAACAAAGGCCATCAAACATGGACCATAGTGCTGCTCATGACATGCCATTTCTTGCAGTTTATGAGGAACCATAAGGTCTGGTAGTGGCGGATCCCTGTAAAAAACATAATTGTTACTACACAAGTAAAATGACTTTCAATTCCAGACAAATAATGACATGTTAAACAGCCCTGACTACAATACCATGAAATATTTATTTTTACTTAAAATGTATTTCACTTATATTATCAAGTCAGGTGCATATATGAAGCTCTCAGCAGTCTTTGAGGGGTTCGCACAAGATGTGAATTTTAGATACTGTTAACATGAATCCTGAAAAACAATAGAAAGTTTTGCTTTAACTAAAAGGATGACCTTAACTTTTTTTTTTTTTTTTAAGATTTTGATTATCTACAGAATTTTAATGACTTTACTCTGCATTTTCTTTAGCTAAAAAATTCAAACTCACCTTCCTCCACAGGCTGGTGACGGTTGAGGAGCATGTGGGACAGTTGGAGCAGCTGACTGTAAGATTTTATCACTAGGGCAGGGTTTGACCCTCTTTCCCATTTCCCTCCAAAAACAAGATTTAAACATTTTCCTTATTAGATATGCATATGTTACTTAGCTTTTTTTTATCATCTAAACCCAGAGAAATTAAATTCATCACATTGGACAACTGCTATTGTGTAAAATAAATGCATTCCTCACCCCCTTAAAGTGGTTGTTCCCAGGTCTTTTTTAAATTTGACACATTCAGGAGAAAGTTGGTAGTTAACACACAGACCATATTGATTAAAGTTTATCATGTTCAAAACATGGTCCTTTTCTGGTGTTCATTCAGTGGTTGTTTTTTCAACATATAAATTGTGACTGCTGTAGAAATGTTAAGTTAAAGTTGAATTTTCATTCTGACTCTAACTCAATGTTGAATTTACAACTTTATCTATCAGGGAAATCAATTTATAGCAAACACTGCTTTTGGACACTGGGTTTGGTGACAGTTTCATCAGCGAGGACAGAGTGCACAACTAACAGTGGAATTCCACATAACTGGGAGGTTGGTTTAGAGTTTAATGACGTTTGCTCTCCAGGAGTTTCATCAGGTTGCATGTTGTCACTGTTACGTGTCAAAAATGACTGACTACTTGCTGTGGTAGTGAAAATCACATGGTCAATGACTAGTCAACGTCATGTTAAAAAGGTTAAAAAGATCATTTTATTGAACAGCTGCTGAACAAGTAGAACACAAACTCGCATGTGACATCTTTGCCACTTTGCCCACAGTCCCCTTTTCTTTGGTAAACCAGAATATGTGTATGTTTATCCAGAGATACTAGGATCCAGTTTAATATAATGTTTTCTCACAGGTGATGGAAGTGAAGGCAACACAAAAGCATGAACTTTGAAAGATCATTTTAGGTAAATAAAAAAAAAAATTAAATCATTGGTTCAGACTCAGCATCAGCAGATAGAAAATATTAAAGGAATCATTGGGATTGGGGCCAAAAAAAAACTTGACTGGAACATCCCTACTGTGTCTGTATGTGAATGACATTCCCCAGTTATCACGCTGCAAACATTCAACTCCCATTTGAAATAATAAGAAAACACACATGATACCTGTCTTGCTGCTTTCAGCTGGAAAATAGACTGTGGTTAAAATTCTTTTGTGCTGTACTGCAGCTTTTGACTGGTCAGTCACAGCTTTTCAAATATAACAGTAAGGCCCCACAGAACAGTTATGTAGACTTTTTTTGGTTGAAGTCTACAATAAAAAACAAGACCAGCTTGCTGCACCTTTTTCCTTGTTACTAGGCAACCACCAGATCTTTAGCCTATTTAAATGTTTATTTAAACAGTCATCATTTATCTAAACATAAAAACAGATATTATTGTCTTATCTTTGAGGGCTCTGACTGAGAGTGAGAAGCTGTTTTCAATACGTTAGACAGAAATGGAAATCTGTGTGGATGCTCTACATGACACCATCAGAAAGAGGAGAATTTGCAGATGATGGTTGCTTCAAGGCTGTTATAGTATGGGTCAGGGACAATGTGACAGTGTGCTGTCAATTGTTGGGCCTCAAATGACCACTAACTACACAGTCCATAGATACCGCCAAGCAGCTGGGAGTTTGTCTGCGAGAGGTCAGTACTATATTTTGGGTCACAAATTACATTGGGCGTTTTTCCCACTCTGAGTTGAAGTTTATTCACCTGGACACACTCGGGCCACTCCTGCAAGAAACGGCGCTCAGTAAAAGCAGTGAGTAAACATTTCACTCTCATTAAAACAATTACAAAAAGCTGCTCTAGGCTGCTAAAATGCACTCTGTCTAATCAGGTTCTAAGGTTGCCATTACAGTTGTGAGAGACTAAATAAACGCACGTGGCAAAACAAAGAGCTTCATTTGTGTTCCTGCCTGCTACAGTGCCCCTCAAGACCACACTTGAAAGTGCAGCTCATACTTCAAACACATGCTATAGTTATATACACAGTAGCATTGGGCTGTGTGTTGTGATCTCTGATTCATACCTCCTTGAGGGAAATGATTCCTTCCCTGCGGTCAGCATCAGTCATGATGGTGAAGATAGCAGCTGCATCTGCATTAGTGATGCTGTAGGTCATTTCAGCGTTCTGTCCTTCATCTTCATCGCTGGCACTGATCCGACCCACTGCCTTCCCCACTGGAGCTAGCTCTGGTACATATAGCTGGTAGCTCTCTGTAACAGCAGCACAACATTGCAATATATTTTTTCATGAAACCATTTCATTTTGTGCATTCTACATGCAGAAAACAGCTGTTTGCACTGGTTCTGAGCACTAAAGTGGCAGCTTAGCAAATACTGAACAAATTAATAAGATGGTGGATCTCAATGGACGGTGACCTGATGTTATTAACTACTGCTCTGTTATTCACTTGCACACTGTACTATTCATATGCAGATACTGTATATTTATCTTTGAACTATTTACATTCATTGAACTGTTAACTCGTGTAACTTATCTTATAGTTCTGCACTGTTTCATTTCATTTCATCCCACAACACTAGTGTTTTATAAGTTTAACGTATGTAAATCCATAAAGTCTGTTGTATATTGTACATTACCCTACATATCTCACTGTAAATATCACTTGTGCATATCTATCAGTAAATTAGCACTGCCTGTACATACTGTAGATACTGTGCACCCTGCACTTCTGGTTAGATGCTAAACTGTACTTCATTGCCTAAATAAAGCTGAATCTCATGTAATCTAATCTAAACAAAGTGCAACAAGACATTTCACTTCTAGGTCACAGGCAGCAGAGCTTTTTCTGCTCTGAGTTTGAGTTTACATGTGATGCCTATGAAATATCCAAAATGAGAGCAAGCAGCTTCGAAGAAGGGCAAAGGAATCCTACAGACATTCCCTTCAGAGACACAAAACACTGATTCCACTGGTCAGTCTGTCCTTATAGCTGTAACAAGGTGGGTGTGAGCTTGTGAAGACTGGTACAAAACACTGATGGAGGTGGTAATATTCACAGTTAAAATGTCATTTAATTTCCCATACACCGCTAGAAAGCTATGTTATACTCAATACTTTCTCTTGTTAATTTATTGTCAGAGAAACTTAATATTTCCTGCACAGGATTTTACATTAAGAGCCTTTGTGCACCTTGAATAGTACATTCCTGTTAAACTTTAATTTAACATCTGGGGGAAGTGTTTCATCAAGAAAAAAAAGAAGCAAATAAAAATAATTAGCATAATTAAACCAGTACTGCTGTTAAATGGAGCTCATAGTAACAGGGCACAGTTTCATGTGCTGCATGCAAAAGAAAAACTAAACAAGACCAAAAGCTCATAAAATATAATGAATAACACGTACATCTCACCATCTCAGAATGGAGGGCATTCCGCATTTCTGTCATTTTCAAAAATAAGGTGTGATCAACACCAGAGGTGGAAAGTAACTAAGTACATTTACTCAAGTACTGTACTTAAGTACATTTTTGAAGTATACAGTATGTACTTTGAGTATTTTCATTTTCTGCTATTTCATATTTCAACTTCACTACTTTTCAGAGAAAAATATTGTATTTTGTACTCACTACATTAATTTGATGACTTTAGTTCCCCTACTTTTCAGAAAGAAATTAAGAAAACAAAATCTAGTATAATCACAAGATTTACTGATCCTTGGTGTAAAACTCACAAGCTACCCAGTAATACTTCAAACTATAAGCATATAAGGTAGATAAATTAGTTCTACTTTTACCAGCTGCGACATTAAATGACGTAAACAGTAATACATCAATAATTATAATAGAATAATATGATATACATCATTATGCCATTTTGTATAATGAGTACTTTTAATTTTGGTACTTGTAGTATATTCTCTACTAATACTTATGTACTTAAGTAACATTTTGAATGCAATACTTTCACTTGTAAATATGTTTACACACTTGTATTGTTACTTTTACTTAGGTAAACAATCGGAGTACTTCTTCCATCACTGACTAACAGCTTGGATGAATCAAACCCACATATTCTGATGTGGAGCATGGTTTTCAATTTGAACTTGTGCTCTCACAGGGCAATATTTCCAGCAGAATGACCTTGGAAAAGTAATTTGATTCAATAGCATATTTATTTACAGGTAAGCTTTTTTGTGCCTTATATTAAAATGTAGATACTAACAATTAACAAGTCCAGTGTAACTCTGAGGGTTCCATCTTACTTGCTGTATGACTAAGTGAAATAAATGTAGTTTAATTATGCTTCTGGTTTTTCATTTAAAAAAGATAACGAAAACAATTTTGCACCCAAATGAAAAGTCACTTTTGGCTTCTCCCGTCTTAGGGGTCGCCACAGCGAATAGTCACACTGACGACTCGCACATGTTTTACACTGGATGCCCTTCCTGACACAACCTTGACTTGATCCCGGGCCACAGTGGCGAGAGCGCTGCGCCTTAAGCACTAGCCTACCAGGGACGGCTAATTTTGCACCCAAATAAATAAATAAATAAAATAACATTTTGAGTCTGACTAGTACAACTTCACCAGTCTCAAAAGCCTTCTCACAGCTTCCTGTCCTCACTCCTAGTGACCTAGTGGTTTGCAAATCATTTTAAATACCCTTACTATCCAGTGTGCACTGGCTATATTTATAATGGAATTCAGAGAGTGAAACTTATGGAACACAATAAATGTGAAAACCACCTCTAGAACAAGTTTCCAGCCTTATTTATGTATGCACATTAGTTCTCCATGGCCTAGCAGTCAGCATGATAATGGTCACACTGATGATGATGGTGATGATGATGATGGGCTACTATATTTCAACTGAATTACAGTATAAAACGATGATTGCGTGCAGGCTTTGACATTTGTGTATTTGCTTTCTTTGTAGCCTGTTTTTATTTTGAAGAAGAATTTCTGCTCTTTGGCAATGTCTGTGTTGGACTTCATGCACAGTTCAGCTCACTTGGTCACCTGGCTAGTCCCAGCTCATTTTGAGCTAAAGTTACTTTAAGATTCTTAACAGAACACAAGGGTTAGCAGTGCTGGAGGACAGCATGGTCTTGATGGTAGGTTTCAGCCACTACTTAATTTCAAACTGGGACTTCACTAGACATGAGCAGTGCATATTGCACAACCTGTTTAATCCGTTCAGGCTACACTGACACAAACTTCCCAGCAGCGTTTCTTGTCAGAACAGCTGTCTGTCAGCAGGAGGACAGCATGGTCTTCACCAGGCTGAATGTAAACAGAAAAGTACTGGACTAAAATAGTTTTCATGTAGGCTCATCAGCAAGAAATCAGCAGTGTATGTATGTTTTGATTTATTTTCTTTGCATGGGGAGAGGGGAAGTAAAACCAGGAAGCATACAGTGACACCAGGAACCTGATCCATCAGAAGAGATTCAAGTAAAAATTTCCAACACATAAACAAGCTAACAGGTGATCTACCTGATTTAAACAGCCGTCTGGGGCAATTATACTTAAGTGTTTCCATTGGTAATATTTCTCAGTGGTGCCCTTCCACACCAAAATCTGTGCTGCCACAGCAAAAAATCAATCCAACCAATCAGTCATTTTATCAAGCACCTCAGAGAATTGCCTGAGAAGCCTGTAAAGCAACAGGTTTGCTGTCGGTCAGCCTGGTGAAGACTGTTTGTCCATCTGCTGTCCTTGCAGCTCATTGGGAGCTGAAGACTGACAGCTGCTTTGACGCTGAACAACACTGAAACTGAAGGTGACTGAATGTCCGGCTTTGGTTACATTGTTGAGTGAAGCACTGACCAGCCAACTGTTGAGAATTTAGTTCTGCAGCCACTTAAAGTCCCTTAGACTATAACTTTCACTGAAAGGTTTGTTCACCTCCATAGAGGAAACACGGACACACACCCAAAACTGCAGCTGTCCCCCACCCCGTGCTCAAAGTACATTGCTGCCACAGTGAACCTCGTTATCCACAGGAAACACTGCACTTCAAATGCGCCAAAGGAAAAAAATTGACTCAAAGTGTAAAAAAAGGGGCCCATCTGTTTCTGTCAGTGTGGATCAACACAGATTGGAAGTCTCTGTTTCATGAGACGGGTGAGTGACAGACCTGCAGATAAACACTGCAGTATTGCGGGGATTGTTACGTTTGTCCACCATCTCCACAGTGCGCGCAATCGTTCCTGCATAACCTGTTTGTTTTGCAGTGGCACCCAGTGCAACCTTTGAAAAAAGTCAGTTAAATCAATTTGGTCCCAAAATGCAACTGATCACTCGTAGTATGGATCCTTAGTGCACGAAAAATACTTGCACTGCGCACAGTAGTAACGCGCATGTTATTTGTCTGCTGACACATTGGCCAATTAGAGTGCATTCATCAGACGATACCAGTGACCTAAAAATGCAGAAAATCAGCATGATAAATATCGGTCAGCCTCTGCTCCGTCTATGAGGGTTGTTCATTTTCACAGTAATGCTGATTCAGGGACAATGTAAAGCATTTTTCTGGCTTTCTGTTGAGCATAGAAAATTCTGGTGGGTGCGGTCATAAAATGATTTTTGAATATGGAGTATATGATTCTGTATGAGTGAGTTTGTCCTTGAATCAAAGACAAAATAATGAATGTGTTTGTCATGTTATTTATGAAACATTCCCTGACATGTTTACTATTCTCATTAGCATAATAGTGTTTTCATACTGGCCCGAAGCTGTAATTTTTAAACATCATGCATGGTGTGTGTGTGTGAGAGAGAGAGCTAGTGTGTACTGAGGTTGTTAGTTATATGCATTAGCACTGGCACACACACTCTTCATCAGCAGAACTGGAGCATCTCAGCCGGAATTGCTGCGAATACTGTTAATATTTGATATTTGATAGGAATTTAATATGGACTATGACAGTAAGAGCTGACATATAGGAAGTATTTTTACATTGTAAAGTCAACAGCATAATAAGAAGCTAAAGTTTTAGAATTTTGCAATAGCAGACCTCTTCTGGACCAGAAGATAAAATAGGAGAACCACTGATGTGAGGTGGCAAAGAAGCTAAAAGCAAGAAAAACAGAAATGACTCTTGGTGATGAAAAACTTTTAAAGGACAACTATCCAAAGCAAGAGAAAGGACATGCTTTCTGTTGCTTTGGAGCAGACTGAGAAAATTGTACTCAGACTATTTGATGTTTCCTGAATTTGAAATTGACTTTGCTTTGCCGTGTTGTATT